GGTATCAAGTATCATAAAATTTTCATATTAGTTATAGGGTCAAATAAAATTTCAAAATAATAAATATTATATCAGGTTCATAAGCATTTCATTGCATAACCATATTAAAGAACAATAAAAGGTAATACATTTAAAGAAAAGTAACTAGAAAAGAAATTATTAGAATCATAAAATTCGAAGTCTAAGTTGTCATCCACCAATCTGATGCTTCATCAAAGTTAATCAGAGGTCCTCAAAGAAATCAGAGACATCCAGGGATGCATTTGCTACTTCATGAGCAAGAGGAGTCCCACCAACAGAGATATTGTTGGCCTCAACAGTGGTTATGGCAGTAGGATTAATTTCAATGGCGTGAGATTCACCACCCTTGCCCCTATTTTTTAAAGATGCCTGGTATAGATCAACAAAGTGCTTTGGCGTACGACAAGTACGTGACCAGTGCCCAGTCATGCCACAGCGATGACAAATACTTTCATTAGTCACCTTCTTTTGCTTCTTTTCTTTGTCATGATTCGGGCCAAAGTTAGATTTCCTAGGGCGGTTAAATTTCTTGCCACCCCTTCAAGGATTATGTTCTTGCCTGCGCTTATAGCCCTTAAAATGGCTAGTATTTTTTTCAGAGTTAGCATGTGCTTCAGGCAATGCTTTTGACCCAGTGGGTCTAAGATCATGATTTTTGAGCAGCAATTCATTAGTTTGCTCAGCAGTGAGGAGCACAGAAATTAATTCAGAGTATGTGGCAAATTGACGCTGCCGGTATTGCTGTTGCAATACAATATTCGAAGCATGGAAGGTGGAGAAAGTTTTCTCTAACAGTTCCGCATCAGTGAGCTTGATACCGCATAACTCAAGCCGAGAAACAATATCAAATAAAGCGGAGTTATAGTCAGACACTGATTTAAAAATCTTGTAGTCTGAGATTTTGCCAGTCATATTGTGCTTGAGGGAGGATAACAGTCTTGGTATGATCATACCTATCCTTCAACCTCTTCCACAGGGTCTAAGGGTCTCGAACGGATAAATATTGAGTCTGCAGGCTCTCATGCAAATGACGACGAATAAAAATCAGTGCATTTGGTTTATCTTTTGCATTTGAGGTTCCGTCTTCTATAATTGCATTAGCGAGACCTTGCCCTTGGAGGTGCATTTCCATGTCAAGGCACCAGGATAGATAATTATTTCCACTCACTTCCAGGATGTGGAATTTGGGCTTTTCAATATTTGCCATAATTCTTGCAAAACAAATGAATCCTTAAATTAATTAGAAGGATTTCCAAATATCCAACGCCACTTCAGGAGGAGCAGAAGGATACTTTTAGATTGGAAATTGGCTTCAGGCCAAGAAAAAGAAAAATGAAGAATTGATAAGAGAAGATGAAGTATAAGTTGATTAATGAAAACAAAGAGAACACTTACCTTGCAAAAATTATTTACTCAGTTGGTAGATCTTCGTGCTGATAACGTGTTGTAAAATATTGCGTTGCAAGTATATGATAGAGAGAATAGATATTAAGTAGAGAAAGCAGATAAACACCAAAGATATATATTTTCTCTTTTCATTATGTTCTAATTTCTTACACAATGACCAAAACTAAACTCCTATTTATAAGAAAACAAGAATGCACATATCATTAATGTCAATGTATTGAATACATACATTGAATAGGGAGATGAACATTCATTGGAGATTGTACGTAGAATGTAGGTGACAAATGTACCATAATAGGTACATTGAATATAATGAATATTCATTCATGTATTTCATAACAAAAAGGACACTTTATATTGTATTAGGTAATAAATGAACAATAAGATGTATAAACAAGTCAGCTTTCTGGATGGGCTAAACACGTGATGTTTTTGTTTGGTCTTGGGAACGAAATGGGCCTGCCTCCGGCCCTGTCCTTTCCTTAAAGAGCTTGCCGCCACCTTCACTTTTTCCCTAATTACTTTCTCAAACTGCACACCGCTCCAAAATCCATAAAAAGAAAATTAGGACCACCTATGACTTGAGCTTTTAAATTGCGAAACCCAAATTTCATTTTTAGTCTAATCCGAAACACCGGAAAGAATTTTCAAAATTTTGAATTCGAAATTTAACATTTACAATCGCTGGTAATTTCCCGTCGTAATTTTCCAAGACTCGAATATTTGATTTTTGGAATTTTGGAGGGCGAATTATTAGCGCAAGTCAAGAAGCAGCAGAGATTCGACTAAAAAAAAAAAAAAAAGAAGCAGCAGAGAAGCGGAGGCGAATAGGCTGTTACTCTCCACTGCCCGCGTGCTATCAAAGGAAGGATTTTGTCGAGGACCGATCGCAAAAAAATTAAGCAAATGAGTTAATTTTATAAGTTTTTAATGAATTTACCCTTCTTCAAATATATTTAATTAGTATTTTGTTGAAAATTTTCATGAAAATCCAGAGTGCTCGCTAGACCTAATACCCTAAAAAAACCTCCAATTTAGCTCAAGTTCCAATCTTATCCTAAACTTTTTTTCGTTTTCATAAAAAAAATCATCAACTTTAGGTCCAGTCCCAATCTACTTAAACTTTTTTTTATCCCATAAAAAACCAACAACTTTAAGTTTAGTTCTAATTCTATCTAAACCTTTTTTTTTCATTAACCCTCCATCCATAATTGCCTTTAGTGACGTGGCATTTTCATGTCATTACTCTAGTTTTTTTCTCAAATTTCATATCGAAGAAGATGTACATTCATATTAGCCCAAACGTCGTATTATTATATCCAAAATTTGGGTAAAAATTGGAGCGATTATGGTTGGTTTACTTCAATTGCTCTTACTCGTAAGAGCGTCTTCATTCCATCATGCTCGAGATCTTCAATTTTGCGCTCAGTTTTCAATCTCTTGTGGTCGGAGAGCTCACGCTTGAGACACTAGGTTCGGAACGCTCGAACAGCTCGCGTTCGGGAGTTTTTATATCTCGGTTGTCAAGACAAATTTCGGACGGATGGTTAATGAGGACAGATTTGAGATTCAAGTAAAAGTTAGTGATTTTTTTTATGGTATAATAGAAACTAGAACTAAATTTTGAGGGTTTTGTACGGGATAAAAAAATTTAGGGTATAATTGAGATTGGACCTAAAATTGGGGATTTTATATGGTAGTAGGCCGTGCCTCCCTATGATAACCTCTTGGAAGAACAAAAGCTAATGGAGTAAAGACCCGATGGCTTCCGGGAAACGAATAGATCGATGGGTCATGATTCACTCCTCCCGGGGGCAGGACCGTATTGATGGTCGCGCTAAGCCTTTTTACCTTAGCAAGTTTGTAATTGTCGGCAATTATATCCCTCCTCCTGCTTTTGTGCATGCCACTCGCGGATGATGGTGGCTTGCTTGTTTTATAATCAAATCAAACGTGATGGTCACGCCCCCTCTTGCCCAATCTAGCAAAATCGCTGCTTCGACCGAGACCGTGTCTGATCAACTTCGGTAGACCACGCAGGCAGAATTGGAATCCTCTTATTTGAATTCTTTAATTTCCCACGAGAGTTCGGGGTCTTGTGATGTGAATTCCCCGAGCACGCCTTCTAGAATGAGAGAGACGGGGGAGAAAGAAAGCCCGCAGTGACGCGGTCGGACGTGACCGCTCCACTGTCCGATCCTTGGACCATGAACGATGAACTCGAGAACGGTTTTTTTAGTAGACCTGTCCAATGGGGTGAGCTAAATCGGGATGAAAATAGTCCGGCTCCAGAATTAACTAATTTTCATACACTACAAATTTAGCGTCTCATATCCGATCTAATCCATACTCACGTGCATACTTGACCCTACTTATATTGCTAAAACACTTTTATATATAACCAAATTTTAAAAAAAAAACACATACCCAAATTAAGATGAAAGAACGGATCGAGCGAGTGAGAGATCGAGTGAGGGCTAAAGAGAACGAAGAGAGCCATATAAGTGGATTGAGTCTAAATAAGATGTGAGTCAATTCAACACCGTATTAAATTCATTTATGATCCATAGATTTTGATCTAAACCAATTAATGAAATATATTCAATATAACTAACTCATATAACAAATTAACTCATCAATTACGAGTTAAGAAATGAATTTATGTCCCGCTCCGATGGGTCTAGCTTCCAGGACATACGAGCATCATGTCTGTGCATCATCCAACCAAGGCACGGTTTTTTTTTTTTTTTTCCCTTCGTTCGAAAACAAAGGCACGGGTCGATTAACTAACTTTCCGACAGGACTTGTCCACATTTCACCAGTTCTGCCGTTCAGCGAACGACGAGCATGGGGTGTGCGCATGGGGGGGGGCCATCGTTCTGTTGCCATGCCCGTACGGACCGCCGGGTCTCGTGGTGCGCTCTGACTCTCCCTTCGCTACACGACGCCGGCCCTTCCAACGGGACTTCACTGCGACCAAAAACCGAACCCCTGTTCCCATGTTTAAGAAACAAACCAAACCATGTTCCTTCCAAATTACCAACCCCCGCTCACCTACTCTCTCTACTCTCTCTCTCTGTCTTCTTGCTTCTCGTTTCCCACCAGACCACAGATTCCTCGCGATCCAATTTTTTGGTTTCGCAAGCGACGTATCCAGAAAGTCTAATCAAATTCGCGACTTAATTTTCTCGTGCCCTGTCTTCCTTTTCTCGCCTCTGTACTAACGTCTGAACTCCGAACATCGCGACAGCGACGCCATAATATTGCTAGTCTCTGGGTGTTCGCTTTCAAAGAGGTACGTCGGACCGCCCCTGAAGTATCCCGATTCGCCGATGGTGACAATGATAAAAAAAAGAAATCCAAAATGTTAACTGCTAGTGACCGGATTAAGACAAATAATTTGGAAGAGAAAAAGAGAGAGAGAGAGAAAATTGGGGGATAAATAATGGCCGCCAAGAATTCTAAATTCTAATGGGCATCGCAAAGCGCATACGACCCTGAAGGAGTTCGTTCATCCCCCTCGCACCTGCTTTGACTCTCTCTCTCTCTCTCTCTCTTCCTCCCTCTGCGTTGCGTTTGCGCCTGCTCGCGAGCGAGGAGGGAGGGAGGAGGGGGCGGGCGGGGAGATGAAGTGCTTCCACTTCACCAACGGAGAGCGGCGGGACGAGGAGGACGGCGGCGGCGGCGTCGCCTCCTCCAGGGCGTCCAGGGTGTCGTGGGCCCGCTCCTTCAGCGTCGCCTCCAGCACCGCCGACACCCGGCGGTCCGAGTTCGACTCCGATTCCAGGGACTTCGGGGACTCCGTGGCCTTCCACGAGCTGCTGACCGCGCGCCGCGCCAACGATCTGCGGGTCTTCTCCTTCGCGGAGCTCAAATCGGCCACCCGAGGGTTCAGCAGGGCCCTCATGATCGGCGAGGGAGGGTTCGGCTGCGTCTACCGGGCCGTCGTCGCGGACGGTAACGATTCGAGGGCGGACGTCGCCGTGAAGCAGCTGAATCGCAACGGCTTCCAGGCATGGATTTTCCTTTTCTGTTTTCTCGTTGCTCGTCATATCTGAGCTCTTCAATGCGCGATGTCCATGACTTGATGCTGTGTAGCGATGCCATTTTTACGTACTTAGCCTTAGAATTTGGTTATGAAGATCATTAGAGGCGATGTCAAGAGCGTGTTTTTACGCATCAAATCCGCCGGATATAAACCCAGGAACTGAATTTGCTCGCGTTTCGTAGAAAGCATTTGACGGAACTCCTAGTCTATTAGAGTCGCTAGTCGCTTCATCTTGTACAGCACCTGAAAGCTTCCGGTAAACAGTAAAAGTACTCACTGTGATATGATGTATCTTTCCATTCTTGCGACTGGAAAAATCAACAGTTGTGCGTATTGGCTGATTCTACAGTTGGTCGAGATTTTAATTGAGCAATTCAGACTACTTTATCTAAAAAAATTTCTATATTGTTACGAGTCGGATTATTTTCTCCTTCTGTAGGGCTTAATGTGGTTGGAATGCCTATGAAACTTGTAAGAGTCTAAGAACAGAACTGCGCTGTTTGACTGAAAGTATATCCGATATTCAGGGGCATAAGGAGTGGATTAATGAAGTAAATTTTCTTGGTGTAGTCAAGCACCCTAATCTTGTCAAGCTTGTCGGTTATTGTGCTGAGGACGATGAGAGGGGGATTCAACGCCTTTTGGTCTATGAACTCATGCGCAATAAAAGCTTGGAAGATCATCTCCTGGCTCGCGTGCCATCGCCTCTTCCTTGGAAAGTAAGGTTGAAAATCGCTCAGGATGCTGCTCGTGGATTAGCATACCTGCACGAAGAAATGGATTTTCAGGTACATGGCTCAAAAGCAATTTCAGATGCTCATGCTCTCACAGCAGCTTTCTTCCATATAAGTTTTGCTTGGAAAGAATGCTGTGAGAGAGGCAGGAATACTTGGGAAATGCATTACGCAGTAAAAGTGTTTTCCTACGCTGGCAAGTACATGTAATTTCGCTGCTTGCTTTATGCAGCTGATTTTCCGAGATTTTAAGACATCAAACATCCTGTTAGATGAAGACTTCAATGCTAAGCTCTCAGATTTTGGATTGGCTAGGCAGGGACCGGCTGAAGGGCTGAGTCATGTATCAACATCGGTAAGTCGAGCCATCTGTTTGTGGGATGTTCCTATCATTTTTTGCTGTGAGGACAACGAGAATGACAGCTTTTCTCAGAAAAACTTTTTGCTCTGCCACCATCACCAGTTTTCACTTGATTACTTATCACTCCATGGATAGCTAGAATATATTCGAAGTTTTTTACCATGAGAAGATAGTAGTACTCTTCAACTTCATTCTGTATCACTAACAAAATCCATTCTCTCTAAGGTTGTAGGAACAATTGGTTATGCAGCTCCAGAGTACGTGCATACGGGCCGACTGACTGCTAAGAGTGACGTTTGGAGCTTCGGGGTGGTTCTTTACGAACTCATCACCGGAAGACGGGCAGTGGAAAGGAACCTACCTCGGAGTGAACAGAAGCTTTTGGATTGGGTCAGACCCTATGTTTCGGATTCAAAGAAATTCCCCCTTATTCTAGACCCACGACTCGAAGGACAGTGTTGCATCAAGTCGGCTCAGAAACTTGCTTCTCTTGCCAATAAGTGCCTGATGAAGCAGCCGAAATCGCGTCCTAAAATGAGCGATGTGGTCGAGATGCTTGGGAACATCATCAGCGAACTATCCCCACAGGATGATGTTATTCCCGAACCAGTAGAAACTGAAGCTGAAGATGCGAAGGGAGAGGCTGCAGGGGAGACAGAGGTCGATTCCAATAAACAAGGAAACAGTAAGTCGAGGAAAGTGTTTGATATTAGAGAGATAGTCAACTTGAGAAACAAGTCCATAGGGAAGTTGGATTGGAGAAATTGGACTCCTGGATTGGTAAGAACTTGGTGACTCAATGTACCAATGTTTGTGTCATACGATACGAAATGCATGCGCATCTGTCCCATTGACATGGAGATCGTGAGAGATGCGAACAATTTCATCGTGATGTAGCAGTATTAGAGTTGTATATATACTGGAGGCCAACCCGTTCTTCAAATGCAAGCTGCATATTTCAATTTTCTCCTTATAGATCACCTCAGTTAACCACTGAAGATGACCTCTACTGTTGTCTAGCAATGACATCCCAGGAATATCAAGATGAGTGATGACTTGGGGATGAGACAGCTCCGGTTATCTCTTCACATGGACAAAACTCTGATCCAACAAGAAGCAGATGGATCGTCGTCAAGATTATTAAAATTGTCACTTTCAAGTATGATAGCGTTTTTCTTTCGTCGTCAGGACAAGCTGGTTGTCTTGGGCCAGCTTGTCTCATGTTTCCTTTTCGGCTTATTACTTGAACCCTTGCTGCATTATCAATCCTTGTGTAATGGATTTACATAAGAAATTAACATCGTTAATGCTGATAGGATTAGTGAGAACTTGGATGTTTTCCTGAAAAGCAGGCATCCGCATTGAAAGCTCGGAAACTCCGACTACAATTTCGCATGGAACATCTGGAAGCATTAATGTCAGAATCATTGCATCTGAGGTTATTTCTTCCATATCAAAAAATTGCAAGATAATATGGAAAAAGACAACAAGTTACAAGACCAATACGAACCCATCCCGAAGAGATTGATCGAACAGAATACATCTCAAACCATATCAAAACAAGCTTTTATATAACAGCATTTCGCTTTTTCTACCGACAGCCAAACTGAGCGCTAAGACTGAGATGTGATCTTTCAGAGATACAACATTAGCAGCTGCTTCGTGTTACCCTATATTAGCTTAAAATGGCTCCAAAAAGATTCAACAAATACATTAGCCCAAGAACTGTACAGAAACAGAATGGCGTCAGATAGGTGCCCTGAAGGTCACAAGAGAAGACACTTGCGCCCCCTCTGTCCTTCTATGCGTAAAGAGGGGAAGCGGAAGGCCTCGGGTACGCAACAGCTCTTGTTCGAGTGCTCGCATCATCGGCACTTCGTCTGCGAATTCTCTGCCCGCCGCATGGTCTGCCGTTACCAGCATTTTCGCTTACCTTGGACTCCTGAAGCTGTTCCAGCTCTGTGACCACCTCGTCCATGCTAGGCCTGAACTTGGCATCCATGGATAGGCATCGCAGAGCTACAGTTGCCGTCTTGTGGGCCTCTTCCATGCTGTACTGGCCCTGAAGGCGATTGTCCAGCACTCGGAAGACTTTGCGTTTGTTGGACAAGTAGGGCTTGGCCCATTCCACAAGGTTGTGCTCCCCAGATGGACGGTTCTTGTCGACCGCTCTCCTGCCAGACAACATCTCTAGCAGGACCACCCCGAAGCTATACACGTCGCTCTTGGAAGTTAGATGACCTAAAAGAGGTGAAAAGAAATGTGCAACCAATTACAGGGGACAAAAAAGATCAAAGCATTGAATCAACCGTCGTAGAAGATTCCCTAGATGACCAAATTTATCAACCAGTTTCGAGCCCCAATAGAAGTCCGAAACAGAATCGATGCAATTAGAAGTTTCAAAAGGACAACTCTCCCATGATGTGGACGTAGTCATAGCACTTCTGCAAAGGTACTCAATTGAAGATGAAAATGGTAAAGAGTTGTTATCTTCGCTTATTTTGGATGGCTAGGGGCTTTGACTAACCTTTATGACTTGAAGTCTAGACATTTTCTGAATAGACTCGTTCACATGCAAATACAGTATTGCTTAGCTAGTGATGGTGGGGTTTGACTAATCCGCTATGAGAGTGGGCAAGTTGCATTGGGTAGATTGACACAAGCAAGAAGCTCGAACTGGACACCCAAAGTTTGTTACTAAGAGAGTTATGACTTTCAACATTACCTGTGGCAAGATATTCAGGGGCGGCATATCCATGAGTCCCCATGACTCTGGTCGAGACATGACTTTTATCACCGGTTGGACCATCCTTGGCCAAACCAAAATCAGAAAGTTTTGCATTGTAATTCTGCCATTATGCAATAATGCTTTTTAAATGTTGAAAAACAATTAGACCGTCAAAAACACGAATAAGGAGCAAAAACATCAATTGGCATCAGCCATGCATAAGATATTAACGAAGACATTAACCCAGAATATAGTAGCAAGAGACAGTAATTACTATTGTTCTACAAGAAAGTGACACCCATTTTAAATTCCCATACCGAATCGAGAAGGATATTGGAAGTCTTGAAATCCCGGTATATCACTTTGGCCTGAGCGCTGTGAAGAAAGGCCAGCCCCTTTGCAGCACCATGCGCTACCTTTAACCGAAGGTTCCAAGACAAAGGTTGGAAATATGATCCTCCTGATATACCAAAAGTTTTTACATGTCAAAATAATATCAACAAAAGCAACATTTGCTCAGCAATATGAGTGGGACAGGAACAAATAACTCACTCCTAAATAAATGGTTTTCCAAGCTACCGCGAGGCATAAATTCATACACCAGAAGTCGATGCTCGTCCTCCAAGCAGTACCCAATCAACCTCACCAGATGAGGATGATAAAGCTGCCCCAAATAATTAACTTCTGCCTACATGATCAAGATTACCAGTATTAGCACACAACAGATCCGAGACCCACTTTGATCAACACAACTAGGGGAACAAAAAGCTCAACATTATTGTGCTCGCAAAATGTTTGGAATATGAAGCTTGAAATTGCACCACTTCTAATGAAGTTGGAATTCGTATCTAAGTTGTCCGTCTCATTCACATCACCAGCTGTGTTACCTAGTTTCTCAAAGAAGGGAAAGCTTGACTCACCAACCACTCTCTATGACCTTGAAAACTTTCTTGGTTGAGCCTCTTCACTGCAATGACCATACCAGTTCCAGCTTTTGCCGCAGCAAAAGAATTCTCATCAATCCAACCTTTGAAAACTGAGCCAAAACCACCTTCCCCCAGAACACTATCGGGGCGGAAGTTCCGAGTAGCCATTCTGAGGTCGGCATAGCTAAATCTCTTCACATTTGACGACTGCAAAATCTCACCCTCACTCCTCGGAGTCAGAGGCGCCAAAACTGATGAGGCCTTGCTCCCATTACTGCTCAGATCATTCTCGCTGGTGCCAATGCTTTTCGTATTTGTGCCTGCGCATGAAATATTCTCTATTATATGCAAAACAATACAAAGTCTACTCGCGGAACTTTCAATAAAACTCTCCTGATATTGGCGGAACTACTAAGTGCGCGTCGGTATACCCAAGTGAATTCGGCAGGTTTCAGCAGGCATTGCAACTTCAACATAATCGACAATTCCCAGCAAAAAGGGGAAGGAAAAATTATTCATCTCTTCTGCAAGAGATATAGAAAGGAGAAAACTTTTCTGTGTCTTATTTTTTATCAGTAACATGTAGAGTTTTAGGACCATCAATTAACCAGAACACATAAAGAAATCTATGTCACGTCTAATCCAAGGAAATAATTGGTCTGTGAGGTTTCCCCTATCAACTCTTCAACTCAATTCAACTTGATATGCCAACAAGTACTTTACTGTTTCGCTCTACTTCCATTAGAATTTTTCAAGACAACATAGGAAGTTTTAAAGGCTCAGAGCTTGCTTCGCCTAAGTCCACGGGGCATTCATACTAGAGGAAGTCTGAGGTGAAAAAGAGTATCCAACATAGCACTACCTGCCTAGAAAGAGCACTTAGAAACTGGTCAAACTATACAACCACTCCCACTTAAACAAAATTGTACATATATGTACTGATAGCCATAAATTCCACTCCATCCCCACCACATCGAAATAAAATAACATTAATAGACAGCACGAAGCTGAAAAATTAGTTAGTAAGGAAAGAAGAGATCTTATAGAAAGTGAAGACCAGAAAAGAAAAAGGAAGAAGAATTCAGCTGCATCTAGCAGCTTGCAGCTACTACGCAATCTGCACTCAATTGGCAACGTAAATGAGAAACAGAAAACAAAAGAGCGTGACCGAAAAATCTAGTACCTGTGTGACATGGGCTCTCAGCCTTGATTCGAGCGCTCAAGCAAATCCCCATCGAAACCCAATTTTGAGAATCACTTCCCCTCCCGCCTACAGATCACAAAAGCATTCCTTTACACAGAGAAGGTTACAAACCAATAGCTACCAAAGCTCAAGAACGAAACGAAGCAGATCTGAGGTCTGAAAGAGGAAAGGGGGTTTCGCATGCAGACCCAATTTGAAAATTAACGAGACGAACGAAAAACTAAACCTGCTCTCACCTCACCTCAGCTCAAGCAAACTAGAATTTCAACAACGGAAGACGAGAGAAAGCTATATCATGAACAAAGAGAAGGGGCGAGGAAGGAGGAGGAAATGAACAAACCCTTTCACCAGAACTCTTTAACTGATTGCCCACCCACTCTCTGCAGACCCAGTACAGAAGCAGCCGCGGGAGGAAGAAAAGAGTGTGGCTTTCTTGTTCCGTATGAAGCTTTTGCAGCTCAACAAGACCTCAGAGAGAGAGAAGAAGAAGAAGAAGAAGAAGAAGACCACCTTTGCAGCAGGACAAGCTAGTTAGCTTACACCTTACAGCTCGTTTTGATTAATGCAGCAGCTCGAACGAGAGCGAGAGAGAGAGAGAGAGAGAGAGAGAGAGGGGGGGGTGGGTTGGGAGAGTAGCATTAATGGCGGGTTGGCCCCGCTTCTTCTAATCTCTGAAAAAAACTCTTCCTTTTTCTCTTTATTTAAACTCTCTCGCTCGCTCCTGCTCGAGAACTAACGAGCGAGCAATGGCAGAGTCAAGTCAGAGCAGATAAGCCTGCACGGGCTGCTGCCATCCTAAGCCGTCCGATCCGATTTCTTCCCCCAGTCCCCTCCCATTTCACCACTCGACTCCCGAACAAAAACAAGAAGAGGAAAAACACGAGGCTTTGCGTTGACGTCTCTTTCGCCATCCAATTTGGCTTTGGACAAAGAAGAATAAGACATTGGGAACACATAACCGACAACCTCGAAAGACCTTTCTCTCTCGGCTACAGTACCGCAACCCAGCACAGTAGTTACATGTTTCCTTTGGTGTACTTAAATCTTGACCCTTTCAACGTAATTAAGAGGTCAATTGTTAATCATAAACGGGTCACCAACCTCACCCCCTCGTGGAAGAAAAACGCTCCTTCCAGCTATCGATTCCGCCATACTTAGCTGGAAAGCCGGAGCTCATGATGAACGTATTTCCAAGGTTTCAACGCGATGAAAGGGTCACGTGTTTGAATACTTTTGCCAGGAAAGAAAAGGAGACATTTGCTGATCCTAGATGATAGAATGAAACTGACCTGAATCTCCTCCATTTTCTAGCGAAGAGAAGCCTAGGGAATGATCAGCACCTGTATAATAAGCAATATTTCCAAATGGGTCACTAACTGTTAGCTAAACAACGACTTTAAAATTACTGGCAACAACAAAAAAAAATAAAGATTTAGGACTAATGAAGTCGGTCGATTAGTTAAGTTGACGAGTACTAGGATTGCTCCCGGCATCTTACAAGTATAAGATTTTTAGTTACGGAAAGTTACTCTTCTAGAATATCGACATGCTAAAAGAGAAAAATGTAATAGCTTGGTTTCTTCAGCAATTACAGAATGGAAGATTAGCAAACTCACATCGTCCATATCACCGTGCATGCAAAATTTCCACAGAAATTTCGAGCGAATACTTTGGGTCCCTTTTTAATGCCCGGATGCCCTTAAATTGAACTTGTCGGGTTGCGTTCGATCCTATCCACGAGTCGCGTTAGCAAGCAAGACACCTCGATGGCTTTCCAACATCCGCAAATTGATGCAGAAGTACTGCTTCGGAGTGCGATCAGCGCTCTCGGAGCGAGCTTTGCGGATTTGCTTTACAAGCAAAGGTTAGAATAGAAGGGCAGGAAGTAAGCAGCACGTGGGGCACGTAAGGACGAAGGACAGCCGAGCTACGTTGGGAAACCCCTTCGTCGTTTATCGTAATCCGGATTAGTCACGTGTTTCGGAGACCTTTTTGTCAATGACCTTCCAGAAAAACACGGACCCGTGCTCCTCCTCACGATCGGGGTGCGGCCGATTTCTTTTTACTCATTGAACGAACGTCGGTTTGCAGATTCCACCGTCCTTAAAGGACGGTCGATCATCAAGCTCAGCTCAGGCTGGCCATTCGAGTTAAGGACATTGACCAGATTTAGATGATGTCAGTTGATCATTCGAGTTAAGGACATTGACCAGATTTAGATGATGTCAGTTGATTTGCCAAACGTGTGAGTCGAAAATGAGCCGACTCAAATTGATCAATTTAATATGTTTTTTTGACCCATTTTTACGTAAAATATTCAACCTAATACATATCACTAAAATACATTAAGATGAGAAGATGAGAGCAAGGCATGAGCGAGGGCAAGATCGAGTAAGAACGAGAGAGAAAGAGAGTCGTGGAGGTGGATTGGGTCTAAATAAATTGAACTCATATTATTTTTTGCTTTACCAATCTAAATCCATTTATCGAATATAGTTAACCCATATAACTATTGAGATACACGTGTGAGCTGTGCTAGAGAAGTCTCACGTCGAAAAATTGGTGTAGCGTGGAATAGTCAATATATCTAAGTTAGCCTATAACTCATTGGTTTAAACTTTTGAGTGAAGGTAAGTTCAACTTACTCGAACTTGGGCTCTTTCTTAGCGACCTCAAGTATTGGGCGTTTACTACGCCCTCCCAACAATAGCAACTCAATCTGTGAAATATGGGTTAAAAAAATGAGTTTATGACACATTTTGATAGGTCTAGATGTCTGACGAAATACAAATCTCAAAAAACAGTAAATCACTTTAAATTTGGCAAAAGTTATGTAGGAAAAATACTCGTGAACTTTCCCGAAACGGGGCTCCCGTGTGATTTGTTCCTTTGCCAAGATTTTGCAAATCTACCAACTCAATCAGACTTTTGGCCCCCTCAATCAGTGACAGTCGCATTCATTCCGTCCAAGGAATCGCTTCTATTTACACGGCAGACCGTGATGTAGGATGGAATCTCGACTAGAAATAAAAAGAGGTTGGATTTTCATGGATCTTAATATTTAGTGTCACATCGAATCATTATGAGCAACGTTTAGAGGACGGTACTATTACTTTCCATACATGGAGATATGTGGTGAGGAAGGTACCGTCACTTTGTGAAAAGTAACGGTTCTGTCCTCCAAGCATTTCTCAATCCTCTTTTACTATCTTTCGATAGAAGATGGCGAAGGTAGTTTGCCCTTGCAGATCTAGTTTTCCCACAAAAGAGCTCGTTCCTTATGTATGTACCGTAATACGAGGTAAGAGAATCCTTCACTTTTTCACTTCTAGGGATCACAGTCCTTTTCTTCTTCGAAATAATCTCAATGATACATCTATGGAAATATTTCGAATAAGATGATTTTTGCCAAATTCCCATTTGAGCAAGCAAAGGGAACAGGCAAAGAATATTAATATTTTGCAAATCGATCGAATTCACCACAAGAGCTTACGTGAAATTTAATTTAAAGTGGAGACTAATTCATCATGTGGTCATTCAATTAAAGAAGTTTTCATTGGGTTTTACTGGCATAACAGTCTTTTGGGCTATTGTGAAAATAACAACTTGTTGTGAGTTACAAATTATTGAATGAGTGAACCCCACAATAATTTATAATTATTTGTTGTTTGGTTTTTTGTGGTTCGGAAGAGACTGTTATTCTCACAGTAATTAAAGGCCATCACTCAATCATTTCTCATTTTTCTTTCACCAGCGAATTCGCTCCACATGTAAATCCTACAAATCCGACAATACACGGGAATTGATGGTGACGTAAATTGGACATGAAATTGGGGCTCGCATGCACCAGATGCAGCGACGTTACATGCATTGCACCCGACATACAAACTGATCATGGACGTGACTTTAGCCAACTCGTGACTTTTAGCTCGGCTCAAGTCAAGAGTCAACTTTGTTGGCAGCTTCTTGAGCCCTCCTCAGGTTACACAGACACCCGCGACGGTGCCTAAAACCGAAGAAATCCGTGAAACCAACGAAACCATCAGCCCCTGGGTTATGGGGTGGGTATCGGAGGTCGCAAGATAAGTTCCGAGTTCTGAAAAAGCTTTGCATCCGACATGGTTGTTTCCGGGATTTGTGGCCCTAACCACCTTTTACACCCCGTACGAGGTATCCTGTAAAATAATTAAAATAGTTCCCTGCCCTTTTTTTTTATCACAAATCTTTTGTAAAAGTGAGAAACACAATTTGACCAACTAGGTCATTAGATTACTCTTGGTTTAGCGTAAGTACCTATTATTTCCTCGTAGCACGCGTGTCCCAGCAGAATAGCAAGATCATGTCTATATTGGGCCCTTAATTCGGAACGCTGACGGGCCGTCGCCTAGGAAGCAATTTTCTGTGGGCCTAGGAAGCGATACAAAAGTGAGAAAAATCAGCCCTGGAAAGATGTTGCTCCAGTTGGATATTAACAGTTTGAGAAAATTTCAAATAAGGGCATGAACTGCCATCATTTTCTCAAATAAGAATTTGAAGTGAACCTTGACTCAAATGAGGATTTGAAGTGCCCTCGTTTTCTCAAATAAGGCCCTGAAATGGATATCATCTCAAATAAAGACTTGAAATGGCCATATCGGTTTCAAAGAAGGGCCTAACTTCACTAGCCGAAGGGCATTTTTTGTCATTTACTTTTTCTGAATTTTTTTTTCCTTTTTCTTTTTCCTCTTCCCTCCGCCGGCCATCACCGAGGCCTGGTGATGGCTGGCGGAGGTCGCCGGACTCAGGCAAGATGCCAGCGAGGGTCACCTTGCCCTCACCTAGGCTGAGCGAGCAAGGGTGACCTTCGCTAGATTTGGCAAGGACAACCCTCGCCCTCGCTAGCCCAGGCCGCTGGTGTTGGGCAAGGGTTGCCCTTGCCTGGTCTCGCCAATTCAGGCCAAAAGTCTTTAATTGAAACGATTTAGCCATTTCAAGCTTTCGTTTAAAACAAGGTCCACTTCGGGCCCTTATTTGAGGAAATGATGGCATCTCAAGCTATTATTTGGAATTTTCCCTAATGGTAAATAACCTATATTGGGTAAAAAAAAAAAAAAGGGGTACGTGAAGTCATCGTGCCTAGAATCATCAACTTTAGAACATAGCAGTGAAATAAAATGATTTATCACGACGAACGGAAATGCACGCTCTCAAAAGGAGCATTTTTCTCCAAGAAGAGAATGGAAACAAAAAATGCTTTCACGGAAGAAACGGTAAACGTTTTCTCAAATCAAAAAGCCTTGGCGGTGGCCGCCAGACGGGCCTTTTTGTTTTCCATGGATTTCTTTTTTGGTGGTGCGGTGCTGATTCGCTGTCCATCGAGATCAAATTCTTAAAAAAAAAAAAAACGACCGTTGCGTTAAGAAACCGCTCCCCCTAGGGATGGTATTTGTAAATTTTAAAGGTCGGGATGTTTTTTTTAAGGACCCTTTGAAAATGGATTCTCAATATATCTCAGGTGCCGCCGTCAAGATTAAAAAATAAGGTAAAAATCTCGTCCGTTATTTATATTATATAATTTATAACAAAAGGCGTAGGAAAAAAAAGTAAATGTCACTTCAAGATCCGTCATTCGACGAAGAAGCATATGTAATAACTGGCTTCGAGCTCGAATCCTTGCGACAAATGAACTCGACACAACAGCAAATACCACGTAGGGCTACTCCTCCAAATCCACAGTCATTGCTCGCATAAATGCACGACGATCCTCGTCACCAAATTTTTAACATGAGCTGCCGACTGCTCTCCCTCACGTTAACCCCCACCAACCACCGTACCGCAAGTTAGAAGGCGAGCGCGTTCAGTCCACGGCTCCATCGCCCCACGTACACTAGCGCGCGTGGGTACCACCCATCCGTACTCCACGGCCCACTTTTATGGAGCGCGTGTACCGCACTTCCCTCCTACCTTTGCTTTGCTCTCTGCTCTGCTCTTCTTCTGCGTCGCTTTGATAAGTTTCAACCTCATCCATCTGACACACACTCTCTCTCTCTCTCTCTCTCTTCATGTCCTCCACGAATCGCACTGCGGGACTGATCATGATCATGGCCAAACTCGTCCCTCTCGCCACGGCCGTCCTCTTCCTGTCCGTCACTTGTCCCCATCTCTCCCGCGCCGCGTACCCCATCGGCGTCAACTACGGCACCGTCGCCGACAACCTCCCCCCGCCATCCCAAGTCGCCGCCTTCCTCAAGTCCAAGACTACCATCGACCGGGTCAAGCTCTTCGACGCCAACCCCGACATCCTCCGCGCCTTCGCCGGCACCGGCATCGCCGTCACCGTCACCGTCGGCAACGGCGACATCGTCTCCCTCTCCAAGCTCCCCGCGGCCCAGTCCTGGGTCGCCGCCAACATCTTGCCGTTCTACCCCCAGACCCTCATCAACTGCATCGCCGTCGGCAATGAGATCCTCGCCACCTCCGACAAGACCCTCATCGCGCGCCTCTTGCCCGCCATGAAGGCCCTGCACTCGGCCCTCCAGGTCGCGAACGTCACCAACGTCCAGGTCACGACACCGCACTCGCTCGGGATACTCTCGTCGTCGGATCCTCCGAGCACCGGCCGGTTCCGCCGGGGGTACGACCGGGTCATATTCGCTCCGATCCTGGATTTCCACCGCCAGACGAAGTCCGCCTTCATGGTGAACCCGTACCCGTTCTTCGGGTTCTCCGCCAAGACCCTGAACTACGCGTTGTTCAAGCCGAACGCCGGCATCTTCGACGCGGCGACGGGGATAAACTACACGAACATGTTCGACGCCCAGATGGACGCGGTCTACTCGGCGATGAAGAAGGTGGGTTACGAGGACGTGGAGATCTCGGTGGGAGAGACGGGGTGGCCCTCGGTGGGCGACCCCAACCAGCCGGACGTGAACATGGAGAACGCGGTGTCGTACAACGGGAACCTGGTGAGGCACGTGAACTCCGGGAAGGGAACGCCGTTGATGCCGAACAGGACGTTCGAGACTTACGTCTTCGCGCTGTTCAACGAGGACCTGAAACCGTCGACCTCGGAGCGGAACTACGGGCTGTTCAAGCCGGATCTGACTCCGGTTTACGACGTCGGCATCATGAGAAACGAACCGGTAAATGCTGTTCCTTAAACCCTTTGCAAATCTCGCTTTATTAACTGGGACTGGGTGCGTGATTATAGAAATATTTAAGAGTAAAAGTGGGCTGAAACTGATAATATGAAGGCTGGTTTTGACGATGGTTGAACTTCCGTATTATACTGACTTGGTTAACATGGCGAGGCCGAGGGCATTAATTGACTGGGAATGTTGACGGTACATTTTCTGGGATTTCAGGAGGAAATGGGAATGTGTTTTTTGGTTAACTGACCTGTAAAAATTACTACATAAGCTTTTAATTTATTCAATATAATCTTTGAATTTTAATATAATACTTTAATATAGTTTATGAATTTTTCGCACCTATTCGATTTAGTTTCTATAAATTAAAAGTTTAGAAATCAAATTATATGTTAAATTAAAATTTAGAGGCTGTTTATATTATTATCTCTAGAAAATTCGATTGTCGTCGTCGTCGTCGTCTACGTTTAGAGGAGATTGGCGTTGCGTGTCCCTGAATTTGTTTTCTCCTTTAGTTATCTGGTCTGTGGGGCTCTGACAAATAAAAGACGTCTTTTGCTTCGAAGCACGTGTCCGTCACAGAAAGAGACGTTGGCTCTTGGGTCCAGCTTCGCTTTGCCCAGAATGTCCTCACTCTGTTACCACATTTACATTTACTGGAGGGCATATTAGTCCATAATAATTATGTAATCGTTAAAAACAGAATCTCGCGCCATTTGTCAAAAACTGACGTTCCTGACAAAGACAGGAACATTATCAGCTGACAACGTTCGAAAGTTTTTTAAAATCAGCTGCAGCCCGCATGTGCTTTGCTTGGAGATCTAAGCCGGCCATTTCGATTACCCTTTTCGTTTTTGTGTGGGGTGATGACAGGCTAGTGGACCCGGTCCGACGGCCCCGCCAGCGAGCTCGGGCAAGAAATGGTGCGTGCCGCGGTCGGACGCGAGCGACCAGGCGCTGCAGGCGAACATCGACTACGTGTGCGGCGCCCAGGTGGACTGCAAGCCCATACAGGCGGGCGGGGCCTGCTTCGACCCGGACACGGTGCGGTCGCACGCGGCGTACGCCATGAACGCCTACTACCAGGCCTTCGGGGGGCACGACTACGACTGCGACTTCGGGAAGACCGGGACGATCACGGCCGTCGATCCCAGTACGTCCTCCTCGATCCCCGTGCTTTTAAATAAAGAGATAAAACATAACCGCGGTTATTTGGGCTAAGTTGGTGGACGTGGCAGGTTACGAGGCGTGCGCGTATCCCGAGGGTGCTGGGAGCGTGAGAGTGGAAGAGAAGAAGTCGGTGACGGGAGGATCGAGGAGCCCGTATTGGAAATCCCAAGAGTTGTTTATGGGAGGATGTTGCTTTTTGTTCGCACACTTTGTATTTATGTGAAGAGACAAAAAAGGAAATTTGAACGTTACACTTACACCCGCTTTTTTTGTGATGGGAGCAAATCGCGGTTTTATATAATAACGTTTTATTTGGCTTTTAGGGACGTAATTGGGCTTAATTTCCTTAAAAAACTCCAAACTTCATGTGTAATTTCAAATCTGTCTCAAACATTTTTTTGTCTCGTAAAAAAGATCACAAACTTTCATTTCAAATCCAATTCTGTCATAGGTTAATTTATGTCCGAAATGTTGACAAATTTTTTCTAACTTGTCATCTACGTGTCATCCTCTTTTTCCACGTCAGCTCGGGTTGATATTTTCTTTCTTTCTTTTTTGTTTTTTCATTCTCTTCTCCCTTTCACTTTTTGCCATGGACAACATGGTTTCTAAATTATCAGCTTCAGCTTCTCATCCTACGCCTTCAACCTCTTCACTTGAATCTCCAAATCGTCCACAATCTTCCAAGTATGGTTGAACACTATCCCATGGTTAGGCGACACTAGTCCAAGTTGCTATCCTATGCTTCTTCTGCATCTCCATTGCCCTCTCGTTAGCAATCGACGACAACACCTCGTACAAGCCCGACCTCACTTCCTTGTTCTTGGCATCGTCGGGATTGAGCTCAAGGCCCAGCATGTTGAAGTTGCGGTCCACGTCGCTGGTGCTGTTATCGTAGGTCCTCAACAAGCCTTCATAGGTGAGCCCCTTTTCGTTGTCAATGTACTCGCCCTAGGTCTTGAACTTGACCCTTGGGTTCACGGCCACCACAAATGCGGCCATTTCCTCCCTGTTGAGCCCTCCATCACGGTTCCCTTCAAATGCTGGAGAATTCGCTTCACCTTCTCCGATCTGCTACCTGTGGTCGTTATTTTAGTCCGAGAGTTTCATCAGAAGCAGAGAAAAGGGAAGATTTAGGCCCAAATGACTGACCAGCGCAGAGATAGACGGAGAGGTCGCCATGTGAAGATTGAAAGCGATGATGGTGTCGCTGGCCTTGGGTGACGCAAGATCCAGGGTCGCCCAAGGCCAGCGACTCCGAATCTGGGCTAGGTTGCGTTGGATCCAATGTCTTGATCCCAAATTCGACTATTAACCGACAAATAGAGGGGATAGAGGGTCGGCTTACGAAAGCATCTGAGCTTACAACAGTGACGAGGTGACGAGGAAGTCGTGGCAACGCGCACGCAAGTTGTTGCGACGGTGATCGGCGCGTGGCAGTACCTGGGTTTCCTTTGTGTTCATGAGGGTGGTCTCGTTGTCCATGGCGGAAAGTGAAAGGGAGAAGAGAATGAAAAAACAAAAAACGAATGAAAGAAAGTGTCAACCCGAGCTGACGTGGAAAAAGAGGATGACACGTAGATGACAAGTTGGAAAAAATTTGTCAACATTTGGACAAAAAATTAACCTAGGGCAGATTTGGGTTTGAAATGAAAGTTTGTGATTTTTATGAAACAAAAAAAAGTTTGAGACAGATTTGGGACTACAACTAAAGTTTGGAGTATTTTAGAGAATTAGGCCGATGTAATTGGGGTTGCAATTGATGCCCTTTTCCATTTTTTGGGATCACACAACCACTTTTCTCTACCGGATATAGCCGTTGTTTTCAAAATTTTCAATCTATAATACTTAGGGGTGATTGGTCTCTGGTCCAGGAGAACCGGTTCCCAAAAGTGAAAATCGAGAACCGAACCGGTTGGTCCTAAGATTGGGAACCGGACCGACGGTGCAGTCTAATGGAACCGGTCGCTTAGGGTTTAGTTTTTTTTTTTTGGGTCAAACACTTAGGGTTTAGTTCGTATTTTATTAATTTTTGTTAATGAATTTATGTCGATGAAGTTCACTTAAGGTTTAGTTCACATTTTACTAATTTTTTGAAAAAAATTAAAATATATATATAGTTAGTCCGGTTCGATCAAGCTCCCCCTTGTAACTGGGAATCGGACCGATACTCTCAGGAACCGGACCAAATCGCTGGTCCAGGCGGTACGTTTTGCACACCTCTTATGATACCCGATTGAATGGGGTCAAACCAGTTTTGATGGGGGCATCCAATTGAATAGATTGAGCTCCAATAGCCTAAATTACGAAACACTTCATGGGATCAGAAGTTCCCACCTTTATTATTTATTGTGTTATATATATACTTTAAGTCGAAGTTAAATGAATGTTCGCTTCCGTGTTCATCGTGTGTTTATATCACGGACCGAATTCTTCCCTTTTGAGTGGAGCTTATGGCGTCGGGGTGAAGGGTGAGTACTGGAGAAGTGATGATATAACTATGAGTAGCTCTGAAGGCATACCTCTAGTGCATAGACTAGTCGGGAGTTAATGTCGTTATCTTGATGAGGTCATGGCATGTCAACACCAATTATCGTACTGAAGTGTTTTGTATATCTCATTCGAGGGACTAGATGTTAAGCTAAATTGGGCGTAGTATAGTAAGTGTTTTTTTTTTTGTCAAATGGGTTAGTTACTATTAACTGAACAATGACTTTAAAATTACCAACGACCAAAAGAAGATAAAGATTTAGGACTAATGAAGTCGGTCGATTAGTTAAGTTGACGAGTAAGGTTGCTCCCGGCGTCTTAAAAGTATAAGTTTTTAAGTTATGGAAAGTTACTCTTCTACTCTTCTAGAATATTGACATACTAAAAGAGAAAAATGTAATAACTTGATTTCTTCTTCAATTACATAATGGAAGATTAGCAAACTCACATCGTCCATATCCTCGTGCATGTAAAATTTTCACAGAAATTTCGAGCAAATACTTTGGATCCCTTTTTAATGCCGCACGCCCTTATATCGAACTTGTCGGGTTGTGTTCGATCTGATCCGCGAGTCGTGTTAGCAAGCGAGAGACCTCGATGGCTTTCCAACATCCCCAAATTGATGCAGAACCACTGCTTGGGAGTGCGATTAGCGCTTAGAGGCGAGCTTTGCGGATTTGTTTACAAGCAAAGGTTAGAATAGAACGGCTGGAAGCAGGCAGCACGTGGGGCATGTAAGGACTAAGGATTAGGGACAGGCGAGCAACGTTGGGAGACCCCTTCGTCGTTTATCGTAATCCGGATCGGTCACGTGTTTCGGAGACCTTTTTGTCAATGATCTTCCAGAAAAACGCAGACCGGAGTTTCCTCATGATCGGGGTACGGCCGATTTCTTTTACTCATTGAACGAACGTACGTTTGCAGATTCCTCCTTCACTCAAAGGACGGTCGATCATCAAGCTCGGGGTGGGGCCGATCGAGTTAAGGACATTGACTAGATTTAAATTATGTTAGTGGATCTGTTTAACGACTCGAGTCAAAAATGATCGCGACTCAAATTGATCAATTTAACATGTTTTAACTTATTTTTATGTAATACAAATTTAATTATCATACCCATAAATAAATAAATAATACCTTATCCGATTAAGGTGAGAACAAACAGTGAGTAGGGGGAAGATCGAGTGAGAATGAAAGAGGGTCATAGAGGCGGATTGGGTCTAAGTAAGGATGCGTCTGTTTAACGAAAAATGAGTGATTTTGAAAACTTTTTTCTGGAAATTGATTGCTTATATCGTTGAGAAAAATTAGTCAATGAAAAATATTTTTATCATTAATAACAATCAATGTCTAACTATTTTTGTTGGTGATGAAAATTTTTTCCATTCATTTATTTTTCTAAATGATATAAGTAATCATTTTTTGAAAATTTTTTTCCAAATCACTCATTTTCCGTAAAACGAACACACCCTAAGTTGTAAATCCATTTAACACTCATATTATTTTTAGCTTTACCAATCTAAATTTGTTTATGACCCATTTATCGAATATAGCCAACCCATATAACTGTTGAGATGCACTCACAATAGAGAAGTCCCACATCGGAGAATTAATATGGTGTGGAGCAATTAATATATTCAAGTTGGCCAATAACTCATTGGTTTAAGCTTTAGAGTGAAGGTAGGTCCAGCTAACTCGAACTTGGGCTCCCTCTTGACAATCTTCCCAACTCAAGTCATGAAACATGGGTTAAAAAAATGAGTTTATGATACATTTTGATAGGTCTAGATGTCCGACGAAATACAAATCATGAAAATCAGTAAATCACTTTGAATTTTGTAAAAGTTATGTAGGAAAAATACTTGTGAACTTTCCTGAAATGGCTCTCCAGTGTAATTTGTTCCTTTGCCAAGATTTTGTAAATCAACCAACTCAATCGGACTTTTTGTCCCGTTAATCAACGACAGTCGCATTCATTCCATCCAAAGAATTACTTATGTTTACACGGCACACCACATCGTGATGTAGGACGGAATCTTGACCAAAAATAGAACGAGGTTGGATTTTCATGGATCTTAATATTTAGTGTCACATCGAATCCCTTTGGGCAATATTTAGAGGAAAGTACCATCACTTTCCACACTTGAGGATATGTGTTTAGGAGGGTACCGTCACTTTATGAAAAGTAACGGTACCGTCCTCCAAGCATTTTTCAATCCCTTTTTACTATCTTTCGATAAAAGATGGCGAAGGTAGTTTATCCTTGTAAACCTAGTTTTCCCACAAAAGAGCTCGTTCCCCATGTATGTACCGTAATATAAGGTAAGAGAATCCTTCACTTTTTTGCTTCTAAGGATCACATTTATAGAAATACTTCGAAATATTATCAATGATACATTTATGGAAATATTTCGAATAAGATGATTTTTGCCAAATTCCCGTTTGAGCAAGCAAAGGGAACAGGCAAAGAAAATTAATAGATCACGCATCAATCAAATTCACCACAAAGAGCTTACGTTAAATTTTATTTAAAGGGGATCCAAATCCATGATGTGGTCATTCAACGAAAGAAATTGTCATTGTGTTTTGCCGGCATAATAATCTTTAGACCATTATAAGAATAACAACTTGTTACGGGCCATAAATTATTAAATGGGTGAACCCCATGATAATCCATGATTATTTGTTATTTGGTTTTTTGTGGTTTGGAATAGACTATTATTCTCACAGTAATTAAAAACTGCCATCCGGTCATTTCTCATTTTCCATTCACCTACGAATCCTACAAATTCAACAATATGCAGGGATCGAAGCTCGCGTAAATTGGACATGAAAT